CTATTGTGGCCGATTTGGATCACCATCAAGAAAATGTCGATAGAGGAACCAATGATATTGGGAGCCTCGTTACTGATCTGGAGGACCTACAAGAGCCGCCAGAAGAAGAGATTGTATTTGAGCCTGATGAGTCTCAAGTAGCAAAAGTCACTCGATCTGGGCAAATGTATGCGCAAGCTGCAATGTCTGGGCTGAACCTTTCCCAAGTTCCAAAGAGACCAAGAGAATGGCCTTTGAGCAGGAGTAGCAGTTCTGCCAATAAGAACAAAATTCGAGTTGCAACAAGACGCAAGAACCGAGAGAGAGAATTGAAACTGTTGAAGAACAAGTTAAAATCTGGTATTTGTACCAAAGAAGGAAGTCGCAGTACTAAAGACAGTAAAGCTACCCTTGAAGCAAAGCACAATCTATTTTTCCAACAGATTGGGAATGAGATGAAAGCTGATTATGAAGAGCACGACGCTATTCTGATCGCTTGTTGCATGATGCAGATCAAGGTCAAGTTTGATACTGACGAAGGTCTGAACTTCATTCAACAGTATTACATCAATCAAGGACTGAAGAAGTTTGGTGATGATGGAAACGATGCTGTGGATATGGAATCAAGACAAATGCTCCTGAGAGACTGTTTTACTCCCAAATTTGTTAAAGACATGACCACGTCTGAGTGAAAGAAGGTCCAATCAGCGATGATGTTACTCGTGGAGAAGCAATTTGAAAAGACAAGGTGAGAAGTTTTGCAAGTTCAGGGATCTGATTCTTGGTCCACAGGAATAGGTCAGACAAGTATGTATATGTTCAGAAGAAAATACAAAACAAAATAAACAGTGAATGAGTGCATGTCCCATTGCTGCCAATGGTGATTGTCACAATGGCAGGAGTGTGTTGGGATATGACGAAATATGAGTTTTTACGTTTCAAAAAGAAACTATTGAAGTACAAAGTTTTCGACACGGACGATCGTACTTTGATCGTGATGTCGGGATTTGACGCAAGTGTGCCGGACGCAAGTCTGTCGGACAATCTATATCCACACAAAAAGGAAATGACCCTATACAAGTGTGATATCGGTGCTGTGTACGATGCAGTAGGGAATAACACAAGATGTCCCAAAGTACTGCATTAACACAGAATTGTCGTAGAGGTAGAATCAAGTTCTGTAAACAAGGGATTTGCCAAGGGAAAATCGTTGAACTTACTTTTGTGAATGAATCATCAATTCAAGCCAAACATTAATCAAATAGGAACAATTTCACTCAAAGTATACCTAACACAGGAGAACTGTTGTTGTGAAAGTGTTGTACAGTCGATTACAAATTTAGATTGCAGAGAGTTTGTTCTGAGCGCTAAAGGCACTCACAATAGAGCACATTTTGCATTATTCTAACAATACACAGATATCTTGGAATGACTTTGGATTTCTTGGTGAAAGGAAAACTCAAGATCCGCATGGACGACTATGTCAAGAACATGTTGGAAGATTTTCCTATCAAGTTCAACAAGGATTCAAAGCAGGAAACACCAGCTGGTAACGATTTACTGGAAGCTGGTAAAGGGAAGTTACTCAATGCTGAGTACCGTCAGATCTTCCATACTACTGTTGCAAGGGGACTTTATGTCTCTAAGAGAGCTCGTTTGGATATCCATCCAACAGTTACTATTCTTGCCTTGAGAGTTTGAGAACGTACATAGTGACAGAATTCTATCAGGAACGGGATTTGTGACCCGGACCATGATTATTCACGGTTGAAGTGAAGTCTATGCTTTGTACGTATTGTACGTGCGCAGACCGTTCTCAGCCAGTGATATTGTTGTAGAAAGAACCGACATGGCAGGTTCCGCAATCATGCGTAATATTCTGCATGAAACAAGCGAGGATTGTCCAATCCTCACTGAATGCTTTTTACTTGAATTGATAACGATCAACTTGTAGAAACTAGTCAACTATAGGCTTTTATAGTCTATTTTCATTTATTTCTGTCAGATTAACAGTCGCAGTTACGCCTACAGCTAACTGTCGCGATTTCCCCATCAGAAATCGCCCAATTCGTCTCCCATCAGAAGACAAAAACACAACAACTTGCGGATCGGATTTCACAGCGTTTTCGCAAGTTACTGAGCTTCCATCAAGCTCATATTCTTGCAGTCGCGCACACAGCTGACTGCAGCGATTTTCCTACAGAAATTCGCCGATCTCGTCTTCCATCAAAGACGAGGACAATCCACATTTTGGAGTTTGTCTTCCCACCAAAAAGGACGAACCACACAACAACTCGCGGATTGATTTTCAGCGTTTTGCAAGTTCTTTGGGCTCCCATCAAGCCCATCCTCTACCACCGCTCGAATTGAATAATTCTTTGGGGTACAACCTGGACATCTTGAAACTAGTCTTGTGTACATCCTGGAAACTGTCTTTGGCTACAGTGCTGGCAGTATTCTTCATCTCGCACTCGACTTGTATGGTTGCAAATGTTACCTTGACCTTGTTGGCATGGATGATGCTGATATTGACGGACTACAGTATCCTGTCAGTCAGCCTCATGATGCTAACGGTGACCCTCAACCTGATGTACTTTGGGATGTGCCAAAACCTCTTAAGGCATATCTCCATGGGATCCGTGGCTACGTCTACCACCGCGAAACTGTGCTCAAGGATCCAGTCACTCTGACTAACTGTGTCCTCATTGACCCTGATGATTTTGATACATACAGGGCCTCCAGCGCATTCATTGTGTTCCGCAGCCGCACCATCCCACAGCCTCTTGTCTCCAAGCCATCCAGACAATCACCAGCTGAGGAATTTGATCGGGGCATTAAACTAGATGCCATCCTCTATCCAACTTTGTCTGGTGATGATAAGCAATGGGATAGCTACCGTCGTAATCTAGAAGCTACTTGCCGCACTCACGGATTGAAACAGGTCCTTGACCCCAAGTACCAGCCCACCAGCCTTGATGAGCGAGACCTCTTCGACCGACACCAATCCTTCCTGTATCAGGTGTTTGTCCGGACCCTCCTCACCGACCAAGGCAAGAAGATTGTTAGACAATATGATAAGACTTACGATGCCCAGTCCATCTACCGGGATCTATGCAAGTTCTATACTCAGTCTATCAAGGCCACTTCGACCGCCAACACCAAACTGCAATGGTTGACCACTGCTCAACTCACTGCAGACCAATGGCCCGGTAGTCATGTGTCCTTCATTCTTCATTGGCTCGATACTCTTCGCCAGTACCACGAGGTAGCAAAACACCCAACCCCCGAGGAGCAGCTCATCGTCATGTTGTCCAATGCTGTCAGACTTGTGCCATACCTTCGCAACGTGTTCGACACTAGCGAACAATTGGCCTTGCAGAACAACAACAGACCACTTACTTTTGACGAGTATGCGTCACTCCTGGAGGCAGCAGCCCAAAACCATGATGAGGTCACCAAAGGATCCAAGCCCAAGCCCAATCCTAGGAAGGCATATGCTACTGATGTTGTCACCACTGGTGATCTTGAACCAGATCCTTGCCCTCCCATGTTTGACTTCAACATTGACATGGACCTTGGCGACTACTATGCTTACCGCACGTCTTTGTCATCTGCTTGCAAGACCTTTCTACCTAACGAACTGTGACAACAATTAGATGATCAAGGTCGACGTGCCTGGCATCAACTTCCTGAAGCTGCTAAAGCTGTCATACTTGGTGGTTCCAACAAACCTTTGCCGCCACCACCACCCCCACCGCCCCCCCCGTCGTTCTGTCAACTTGCATGATATGCCGGCCGCTGAGTTTCAGCATTCGAGCATGGGGAGTGATGTAGGTACTCTGACTTCTGAAACAAATGAAGAGCCCGCACCTGACAAAGTTTTAGCTCATGTCACCAAGCACTCTTCCCTACAGCCTGGGGAGCTACAACGTGTCATGTCAGACAAGTTAGCTTTGGTTCCTGCAACCAAACATCGCAAAGGCAAACAAGAAGCCAAAAATCACGAGATCGTCATAGATGGGGTACGGTACAAAGCATGTGCAACACCTATTACCTACTCCGTCCTCCGTGTTAGCACTCGCAAGAATTTGGCTCTAGTTGATCGAGGTGCAAATGGTGGAATCGCAGGTGATGATGTCCGCATCATTGTCAAAACCAACCGTTCTGTTGATGTGCAAGGCATTGACAACCATCAAGTGACCAATGTTACAATTGCCACTTGTGCCGGCCTCACCATGACTCAGCGCGGTCCTGCTATTGTAATCATGAACCAGTTTGCTCACATTGGAAAGGGACAGTCCATCCTTTCCAGTGCTCAGATGGAACACTTTGGAATTCAAGTTGATGACAAATCGTCAAAAGTTGGAGGCAAGCAACAGATCTCCACCCCTGATGGTTTTGTCATCCCACTTGACATCAAGAATGGACTTCCGTACCTACGTATGCGCCCTCCAACAGACCGTGAGCTGAGCAACCCGGACATTCCCCATGTCGTGCTCACTTCTGATGTTGATTGGGACCCTAGTGTTTTGGATGTTACCATTGATGTGGATGAATGGGCCAAGTCTATACCAGACAATGGGTCTGAAGAAGGTGAAAGGCCATTCGATAGAGTAGGCACCCTCAAGAGCAATACAACAGTCACTACATTGAGGGATTCTCCTGCTCTGGATGATGCCATTGATTTCTTTGAATCCCACCACTGTGTCATGCCGACAGATGGTTTGTATGAAGTGCATCCCCGACAAGCTTCAGATCTTGATTGGTTTGAGTGCAACATGGCTGAGCTATTTGATTTAGACCCCACCTATGTGACACCAATCATACCTCCAGAGTTTGAAGTTTACGAGTCCCGTCGACGGCCATCTGTTCTCTTTGTACCTGAGGCACCTACCGACTTTGACATTGAGTCTACTCCACTGCGAGACAAGGTTATAGACTCTTCTCACAAGTCTTCATGCCCCGAACCCCGACACAGCTCGCGCCGCAAGACACATTCTGAGGATGGGAGATGGAATTCAAAGGACAAATGGGAACAACCAGGCCCGCCACCACGTGACCCACATACCTATGAGTCGGTCCCTGTAGTGGAACCTGTCTACAAGAACCCAAGCTCAGCAGTAAAATCATGTGAACGTGACTGGGAACGCCTTCGCAGGTACTTTGCTTGGCTACCCAAGCTGGTTATTCAGAAAACATTTGACTGTACCACTCAACTAGCACGAATACCTATGAGTGCACACCTACAGCGTCATTACTGTTCTCCATTCCCAGCACTCAATGTCAACCGCTGTAGTGAAGGAGTTGCTACAGATACTGTCTATGCTGACACACCCGACATTGAACATGGTCATGTAGCTGCACAATTCTATGTGGGGATCTCCTCTCTTGTCAGTGATGTATATGGTGTCAATACCGA